ATCGCTAATAAAGTTGATATTACCCTCACAGTAAAATGTATCGTTACAATTTAAACGGATTAATGTCAGTTTTTTTAAGACATGAAATCCTCCGGTTATGGCACAGTTGATGGGTTTTCTTGTTGACAATGCCATTAAACCGGGACCAAGCTGCTTGAAATGGGGAGAGCTATATTGAGAATTTTCTAACTGACAATGGAATGAACGATTAGTTGACATGAGCTGCTCAAGACACATATTATTAATACGTTTCTGTACAATTGGCGGCTCTCGACAAATTGTGTAGTCTCCAAAGTCACATACTGACTGCTCTAAACTATCTCGCCATTCAATACAGCCAGTGGTGGACAATCCTATCATCTTTGGTAGTCCGACAATCTCTTTTCCTGTATCTTCTTCCGCAACGAAAAAAGGTAAACCAGTAAGTTTATAAACTTGCATCTTATCATTTAGATTTGTCTTAAGAACAGAGAAATAAGATGTAAACACAACATTACCTAAATGCTCAGGGTAGTAACCGGTTGTATCGTTAGTATGTGAAGCGTTTTCTGATGGAAAAAACTAAACAGTCTGCGCAACAAGCATGCGCGATACAAATGTAGCCTTTGATTCAGAGGGTGTGGGTACTGATTTTCTTAACCGTTCATACACAAGCGCAAAAATTTCATTTTGTTCTCCCATTTCTACAAAATCCAAATTAAGCTCGTTGCGTTCGATACGACGCATCGAGTTCTTCATTCGATCATAAACACGCTCTGCGTGTGTCTTTAAGTTATAACGTGTCTGCGCCTCGGCAAATAAATCTAGCCGGAAAATACGGTTTACAATAGACTCCACGATTGTTCTCATCGTTTCCATACTTTCTTGAGCTGTATTAAAAGAACGTGCAAGTTGAAGTGTACTATTCGTATTAGTCAGCACGGAGAGTTCTAAACTTTGTAACTGACGATTAGTGTCAGATACACGGTTCCGAATATCTGTAACTCGACTATTCAACTGTGCAGCTTTGATAGTGTTAAAAATAGTAAGACCTCCTGTAAAAAGCAGCCCAAGAGTGCCGGCAGCAACACCAATAATTAGTGGTATAAGACGCTTACTACGATGATGGTGACGTTGAAGAGTTTTCATAGGAATTTTTATAGAAGAAAATCGAGTATTATTAATTGTATTTAAGAAGTCCGAAATAGAAGATTGACTAGCAATATCCTCTTGTTCAAGTCTGGCACGAATCGATTCCTGATACTCGAGACATAAGCTTAACTTCTCAACTTGCTCCATGGATAAAATAGAACATGCATATTGTGTAACTGGTACAGTGACTGCTAATCCAAAAATATCATCTACTTCATAATAATATCCAACCCGACTAAAAGCTACTCCTCTTTCTTCATGTATAACCATATCTTGTCCGTGAAGTAACTGATTATAAACACTATCCTTGGGTTGAGTAAATGATAAATTATTAGTCGAAAGAGAACAACCATTTGTAAAAAGATGAAATACAATGATGACGAGATTCAATATTCAGTAACGATGTCAGATTAACAGCATATTGATTGCTATCACTATTTTTTATGGTAAAGTGTCAAAAGACCGAAATCCAAAACGTCGAAGAGCAGAATACCGAAGGAAAAACATCGAAAAAAAAACATCGAAGAGTCAAAATGTCGAAGGAGTAAAACATCGAAAATGCAAAAATATCGAAAAACAAAATGTCGAAAAGTAAAATATCGAAAATATTGAATATGAATGAGAGTACCGATAAATTTTCTAATAGTTCATTTTCTATTATTTTATGTCTGCGAAATGAAAGTAGATACAGCTTTTTGTATTATCGTTGAGGGTAAGAAGAAAGAAAATAGATAAAAAAAGTGTTATATTTTAATTCAAATGCACAGAAAAACTTTCGAAGTTGCTTGATTCATCTTGTACAAATAACCATCATACACCAAAAAGGGCTTTCCCTTGTTGCTTGTGACAAAAGAAATACTTGTTGACATTTAAAGATAAGTAAAGTAAATACTTATGTATTACGACATGATAAATGATTTAATGCACATATATATCGTTAGAAAGACATATATATGGACGAATAATAAGAAAAAATAGTTACTGAGTGAAAAGAAAGATACTAGTTGAGTTTGTGACAAAATAAAGGAAAAACTTACATACGTGCACATACCATTGCAGAGAAATATATCAACAATAATGTAAGAGAATGAATAGGCTATGTGCAGGGATGGACCGAATCAACTAATATTAGGGGGGTGTAATCAGCGACGTATTCAGGGGAGGGAAGAATGGCGGGACCGATCCCCCTCCTAACATGTTTAAATATCTGAAGGGGGTACGGGTTTATTGTTTTTCCCAACTTAAAAGCTACCATTTTTCTATGGCGGTCCCTCCTAAAAAAATTTCTGGATACATCGCTGGGTGTAATGAACTTTTTGGGGAGTGGAGGTTAACTTTTGGGAACTTTTTTTTTGGGGGGGGGGGGTGTAATGTTATTTTCGTTGACAGAACACAAGAAAATGTTTGAATTTTACCAGGAAAATGCAAAAATTTTCGAGGATTGGGGGTGTCACACCCCCGGTCGGGACATCCCTAGCTATGTGCATGCCTCATTTTTTTCTGTGGTACAAATTAGAACATTTTCGACATTTTGCACTTTCGGTATATTTTTCTTCGATTTTTTGACTTTCGGTATTTTATCTTTTCGACGTTTTTCCTTCGATATTATGCCCTTCGACATTATTTTTTTCGATGTTTTACCTCTTCGATGTTTTGCCTCTTCGATATTTTTCTTTTCGACGTTTTGACTTTCGATCTTTTGACACCTATTCACACCCACACTAGGGGTCTCATATTCCACTTACCATCACTAGTAAATGGTAAATGGTAAGTGGTATAGATTACTGCGCAAGAATGAAAATTAATAATTAAAATGATCATTATTAGTTCTATATGGATAATTTTTCAAGAATTACAATACTTACCACTTACCAGGTAAGTGGTAAATGTTACACTTCTTTACAAGAAGGCCACTTCTAGATGGCTGTTATCAAGTGATAGGTCAACTCAAATGATTCAACCAAAGCGGCTGAAGAAAAAACACTTGATCATCTACTAAGGTATGCACCAGGCTTACGAATGGACCATTAGAAGTGATACACGGCTTTTGAGCTGACATTTTGAAAATACCGAGAGGACCTCTAGACTAGAATAATCCTAAAAGGATTTGGTCCTATGGCCTTCCTCTCTTGAGATATTGAATTTTCAAGTTCTTGGGTAACACAGCGTTTTTGATCATACATCACTGCATCATACCATGAATGAAAACGTATTGCAAGCTAAAAATTCTCTGATAAACTATGTTATTGTTACGACTCACATCAGTCTTCTTCATTAATACGGTGCGAACCACAGCATTCATGTAGTCCGTCGCGAGTTTTTAATGCGGTGCGAAGCACAGCATTTATGTAGTCGTGCGCGAATTTTTAAGGTGCGCAGCACTTAATAGTATCGCGTCGGGAGTTTTCTTTCTTTCTTTCTTTCTTTCTTTCTTTCTTTCTTTCTTTCTTTCTTTCTTTATTTATTTATTTATTTATTTCTCGCTAGACCGTACGCAGTCTTTTTCACATTTTGTGTCGCCATGATCTTCACAACAGAAAGTCAGAAAATCTACGTTGAAGCGGCAGATGAAACTGTCGAGACTGAATCGAAACCTCCTTTTTTAGTGTACTCAAAAAGTGGGTACACTACTAAAATCGGTCTGTGTGTCCGTCCGGCCGGCCGTCCGTCCGTCCGTTTACACGATAACTTTCGAAAGGAGAGTCAGATTGCGATGAAATTTTCTACACAGCTTAGTCTTGACAATATCTCGGTCGAGTTCGAAGATGAGAAGGATCCGTCAAGAAATGGCTGAGTTATCAAAAAAATTGTGATTTTTGACCAGACCATCCCTGAGGGGGAGTACGGGGATTTTTCGAAAAAAAATTTTTTGCTCATAATTATTCACAAAATACATAAATCGACTCAGTTTTTAACGCTGATTCTGAATCTGATATTAGTTTTGAACCAAATCATAGTTTTGTGTACTCAAAAAGTGAGTACACTATAGAATAGTCAGTGTGTCCGTCCGTCCGGTTGGCTGTTTACATGATAACTTTTGACAGCAGAGTCAGATTGCGATGAAACTTTCTACACAGCTTAGTCTTGACAATATCTTGGTCGAGTTTGAAGATGAGAAGGACCGGCCGAGCCATTCCTGAGTTATTGCAAAAATACCCATTTTGCCCTATAGCTTTCTGTGGAAAAATGGACCCATCGCGACTTTCGTAAAAGACTTTTCCTATCATAGTCAATTAAAACCCCAACTATAATATACCATTCGATAGAGAATTTCAAGAACTACAAAATGATATATAAAACATAAAGAAACAGGAAGGTTGACTTACCAATAACAAGGATAATTAAAGAGAACTAGATTATATTTTTGTCCACGATCTAATTGATCCACAAATAGAGCTTTATCTTCCGGTCACACTGATGATACTTCGAGGTTTTCAGATATGGAGAACTCGAATGTGTACTGTACTTCCATCGAAATACTATTAGTTGTGCAGTGACCAATAGAAATGAAGTTATAGAAAAAACGACTTTCTTAGGGTAAATCAAGGGAAAGAGTTCAAACTTGAGCTGTATTCGGTCCCATGTCCTATTGGTTTGGCAACGC